CCACCCACACCCTTCACAAATCACTCACATTTCTCAAAACAAAAGGTTCTGAATAAAATTATCTCCACAAATTTATCTGATTAAAACCCCCCCTCCAATTTGCAGATTTAAAAAAGTAACTGCAAATCCATGTTTCCATGATTAAAATGAAACACCATTAATCTATCTATAGATTAGATAGGTAGATAAAATAGATAAAACAGATGAATCTATCTAATCTAGATAGATACACCAATCTATCTAACTAGATAGATTAATAGATTAGATAGATTAGATTAGATAAATAGATTAGATTAATAGATTGGATTAATAGATTAGATGAATTGGTTAATAGATTAGATTGATATATTAGACTGCATAGATCAGATTACATAGATTAGATAACTAGGTTAGAGAGATTTAATGGTATTTCATTTTGCTCACAGAAAAAAAGTGGATTGGGGTTCTTTTTTTTTTTATCCGAAAATTGTGGATTTTTTTTTTTTTTTCCCCTAATCAAAGAAAAAACAGGTAATTCCCCATTACCACCTGTCTCTAAGGCAGAGCCCAGACCGGAGACGTAGTCAGAGGCGAGGCGATGCAGATTTGCACCTGGAGTCAATTGCGAGGCGGGGCAGATTTGCACCCGAAGGGGACTTCGGCCCACTAGTGCTACAGATACACACACACGTGCACGCCCCTCCGCAACTTCCCCGACTCAGGTTGCGGTGCAAAGGGCAACCCCTCCCCCACAGCGCCAGAGGGAAGCCCCGCGTGAACCCCCTTACGTCACTCTCCCTGCGTGGGGTGGGGGGAAGAGCCGAGACGTCACGCAAGGGGGCGGGGCCGGGCGGGGTCACGTGACGCGGGCCGCCCGGAAAGGCCCGAGGGGGAGCCACCGCCGCCATTTTCCCGCGGTCTCAGTGCTGCGGCGGCGGTGGCGCGGTCCGTCGTGTCCCGTCCCGCTCGCACCATGTCCGGGCAGAGCCTGACGGACCGCATCACGGCGGCGCAGCACAGTGTGACCGGCTCGGCCGTCTCCAAGACCGTCTGCAAGGCCACGACCCACGAGGTCATGGGGCCCAAGAAGAAGCACCTGGACTGTGAGTCTCGGGCCCCCCACGCCCTCCTGGCCCCGTCCCTCCGGGCTCGGGGTGGTGGGGGAGGCTTGCCTGATGTCTTTCCCCCTCTTGCCCCGTATACTTGGGGGGGGGGCTTTAAAAAGAGACTAGACACAAGCCCCTGGTCGGAGTCGTGCTTCCCTGCTCGGGGCAGGCGGTTGGCATCGATGATCTGCTGAGGTTGCTTTGTTCCCTAAAAAAATATAAATATAGATGAAATCGACTCGCTTTTCTCTGCCTATGCAGCCCTTCCAATGAGGGGAGTGTGTGTGACATGGCTTGATGTGCGGGAAGGGTCGTGGGGGAGACGAGCGTGTGACATGACTCTTCTCTGCCTGCGCAGCCCCTCTGAGGGGAGAAGCGTGTGACATGACTTTCCTCTGGTAGGGAGAGGATGGGGAGGTAGCCACGTTGAGTCTTGCCGGCCGGCTGCTACTTCACTTAATTGTTTCCTGCCCCTGGGTTGTGGCTCAGCCAAGGGTACTTGAGGTACTGGGACCTCCCCCTCCCCCCCTTTCTGTCTGTTTTTTATTTCATGTGAGGGCAATATCAGATAGGCTGTCCTTATGGATCTGGGGAGGCTGGGGCTAAGTGGGTGTACCCACCCGTTGCTTGGTTGATTTTTAAGACCAGAAATCCTGTCGGCTGGACCTGCCTTCCTTGTGCTGTGTGTTGTATGATAGGCACCGAGCTGAGCCCCTGTGCCCCCCTCCCCCCATAGTGGGAGTGGGGAAGAGTCCTCGGTCATTCTCCAGAGCGTGCTTGTAACCAGTTGTGAGACCAGCAGCATGGCAGAAGACAGGGAAGGGGGTTCCTGGGAGACTCAAGTTGTATAGCAAGGCATCTCTCAGGAAGGTTTATGTCTAATGGCTTTTGAATTGGAGGAAGGGGAATGTACAAGAGGAGCACTTAAGATGTTTTGACTTCTGAGTAGCTGAGGAAGATGTCAGCTGCTCCATGGGGAGACCTGAGGCCCACACGGGGGATCTCCTACAAAGTCCTTCCTTTTTCTTCCTGCATGGGTCCCCCTTGCTAAGGCTGTGAGGTAAAAAAAAAAAAAAAAGCATCCCATGTATCCTTTGTTGCAATCCCTGAATCTTTTCCCACCCAACCTGACTTCATCCATTAAACACTTAAATTGTGAGTAACCTCGACCCATATACAGGATGTGCCATGTTGTACTGCCCTACTTACGAAATCGTAGTGTTCCTGAATTAAATAACTAGAAGGCTGGGGATGAAGCATCTTGCACAGGGCCTACTGCCAGTTGCAAAATGAAAGGAGACATGAGGAGCAAACTCAGACTAGCCCAGATAAAATCTATGCAACACTTGAATTGCCTTGCCCTCCAGTATGCTCTCTACAGGGTTTGCTGAAGTAACCAGACTGCCACCCTTCAGGGACTAATGTAAGAGAGGATGGTGGACCTAACCTGGGATGTCCAGGGACACTTGTGCACTATAAATAGTTGGTGTTAAAGGGGAGAGGTAGTTAGCTGTGCTAGAGTGATGTTGGGCAGAAAGCAGGACACTGTGGCATGTTGGAGACTTAGTAGTTCAGAGAGGCATAAGATTTTGTAGGGTGTTGCCTTCTTCATCAGATGCTGTGTGACTTCGGAGTTTGCACAAGTGTTGTGTTCAGGGGTACAAGAGCATCATCCTTCATACAGATCACTGCCTAGATGTTTGATATATTTTGAACTTCCGAACACAAGCTTGCTTCAAGCAGCTAGAAGGATGAAAGAGCTTCTTTTCTTTGTGCTCCCAATGTACTGAAGCCTCTTCATTGTTGCAAGTGTTAGATTTCTGCTGCCTCATTTGGCCTGTGAATGGTTCAGTTTCTGCTTCTGTTTTGTGGATTTTTTTTTCTTTGGAGCAGATAAACAAAAAAACAAGTTAATGTCAAACTTATTGCTACTAGCTTATTTTAGACTGTAGCTATATCACTTTTAATCTGGTCTTCAGCAAGCCTATGTGCAAGAGCAGCTCTAGTAGAAGTGCTCTTATGATAACATCAGGAAGGTGGCACAAAGTTTTAAGTTGGGGAAGTGTTTCTTTTTTTTTTTTCTGTCCCTTTATGGTTGCATAGCTTTTTAGGTCCATCTGAGTGAGGTCTCTACACCTTTGTTCCCCGTACAAAATTACCTTTTCAGTTCCCCTACACTCAAGCTATTCCTTCCAACCATCAGGTGATGAGAAATTTGTATGTGGCCAGTGAGTCACGGTAGTCCTGACAAGCTTGGTGGAGGCAGTTGCACTACATCTACTTAAGCTTTCCTGCAGTCCTGTGCTAAGATTCCCAGTTCCCTTCTAAAATGGGAGATTATAGAAATCTAGAATAAATTTGGATGGTGATTGTATGGATTCCATAACCTGTAAGTTTCAGAATGGGCAGGCCCAAAAATGAAATGGCTATTGTTCTGTCTGTAGATCTTGAATGGTTGTGTTCTCAGTATTTATTTACCACTGCATAGTGTCACCTTACTTCCATAAATTATCAGCATCCAAAAAGAGTTCGTGGATGGATAGCCTCTCCTATTTTTTGCCACTGCTGTCTTCACGAGTTATGGTATTATGGAGCCTCAGAACTGATAATTCACCTTCTTTGTTTGCATCTCTTTCCCCCTTACAACTCATCTTCCTCAGCCACGCAGTAGCCATGTAATCATCAAATGCAGGAAGTACTTCCTGGCCTGTAAGAAGAAAAACCTAGTCTCCTGCAAAACAGTGTGCTGCCTTGCCTATTACGAAGCTCTTAGTCACTTGGTTGCTTGGAAGAGGAGAGGGAGTGAAAGAGCAAAGTTTCTAGTGTGGATATGGACTTTGCTCTAGCCAAGCTGCCTTTTTTGCTATCTTGCTGAAGTGGCCTGCTCTTCCTCTTTATTGGAATTTTTCATCTGTTACTGGGGTTGTTTTTTCCATTGTATTTATTGATTTAGATGCTGACATTGAAACTAGGCTTAGATGCTTAATGCTTTATAACCTCTCAAACTACAGTTCTTAATACTCCTTTAACACAGAACCTGGTTTGACTGCACTTTTTTGCTAGTTCTGAGTTCTCATTTGTAGAAAAAGTCTTCAGTTTTCTGCATTGATTTATGCAAATTTGACCTGTAAATGTCTTGGGGGGG